CTTCTCCATCTCTCCTATCCAGAACCTGCCAGAGGCAGGCTAGCTTCCAGATTCCCTCAAAAGACTAGGAATGGCTCTCTGCTGCCCTATGAGCTCCTTCCTGCCTCAGTCTACACAGTCCCGGGCAGGCAGGGCAGCCTGACCTGAACTCCTCTACCCCCAAATGAGTTCCCATGGGATACCTTTCACCACAAGATTTTTAAAGTTAAATCCTGAAAAAAAATCCCCTTAGGATTTAGTGTTTACAACTCCCCCCCCCCAAGAACAGAAGTTCCTTCTTGCCTGGAGGGTGTCATAGGGTAGAGCCTTTTGGTGGGGGGGGGGGAGAGTGCTGACTTCTCCCTACTGGGGATGGTCAAGCCATGGCATCATAAGGCTCAAGGCTCACAACCTGCCTCTGAAAGGTTGACACCTCATCTCTTACAAATGAATACCTACTGTGCTCCAAGCACTGCCTGACCAAGCGGCTATTAGGGGGAGAGCTAGAACATCCCTAAGCCAGTACACCATCAACAGGCAGGTCCCAGTGTTAATAGCTATTATAATCACTGTTGTTTGAAAGACAGCAATCAATACTACTGCTGCAAGTGTCACAAGGGTAGGGTCCATCAACCTAGAAATCTCTTTGTCACTTTGTAATCTGCTTTTAAAAGCAGTTGAGAAAATCCAGGATTAATCTCCCTTGTTGCTTCCTGCCTCTCTGCGTTGACTTTTGTTGTAGTGGTGGTGCAGTGCTGTTATTTCTTGGGGTTTCTTTCTTTCTTTCTTTCTTTTTAACCATGCTGTGACTGAGGATGAAAGCGGGGGGGGGGGGGGGGGGGGGGTCTCTCTCTTCCTGCGTGCTGAGCAAATGCTCTACCGCTGAACCACAGCTCCAGCCATAAACTCTTTAAGCCACTACTGTTTCCCCGCAGTGGCACCTCTGCCTCGGGGGGGGGGGGGGGGGGTCTTTGATTCTCCCTCCCAGCCCAGGGAAAGGGCCACAGAAGGGTGCTGGGCTGCATGGTCACCAAGCAGAATGTTTTATAGGTCTTTGCTCCCGAAGGCACTGGGTGGAGAGATTCCTTCACTTAGCCTGACAAGGAGCCTTTCCTTGCTGAATTTATGGCTGGTTTACTTCTGTCTCAGTTAAGGGAGTCTCAGGGAGTCGCATTAAATGCTGATGGAATGAGCCACTCTAAAGAATGGGAGGAGAGCAGCCATGAGAAATCTTCAAACAAGACCCAGTCTGTTTTTATAGATGTGTTTGCTTAGATTGTAAAAGCCTGAAAAATGGCTTCCCAGCGAGGCTCCCGGCACAATCCGATGCTATCAGGAGACACTGAAGTCTCCTCACTGTTTAATTAAGGCTGGGGCCTCAGGGGAGACCACAGAATGGAATTCACAGCATGCCTCTGTTGTCTGTAACTTGAGCCTGGGATTCCAGAAAGGTGCCATGCAGAAACAGCCCCTTCCTGCCAACATGGTCCCTAACTGTGCTCCTGGATTTCTGGATGCCTGGTCAACCGTGAGCTAGAGCCTGGTGACCATGCCACAACCCCAGGGAACTAAGAAAGAGGACCACCTCCTGCCATTCCTCCTGCAGCCTCCTGGCCAGCCTGCTCTATCCTCAGCTTTGCTATTAATAGTAATAACAGTTCTAATGTTTATTGAGGCCCAAGATTTCCCAGACTCCTGCGGGGTACCAACAGGCCCGTCCCCCACCAGCCACTCCCTGATATGATGATGAACTTCACCCGATGATCTTCCCAACAAGACAAGACTCATGGAAGGGACACCCAAGGATCATCAGTGGGAATTCACCATTACTTCTTATTTCCTGAGAAGCCCTTAATTTGGGATACTAAGGAGGTCAGAGGAAACTTAGGGAGAAACTTAGTTCTCTCCTTGGTCTCAGCAATAAGCACCCTTACCAGCTGAGCCATCTCACTGGCCCTAATTTAATTATTTAAACCTGTGTATTTAGGCGCCTGGATTTAGACATGAGCTATTTTCTTTCTCTTGAACCTTATGAACTCACCACTGAATCCAATAGCAGTTCTGTGTATCACAGTGGGGTATCTGTGTTGTGGGCTCCATCAGTCTAGCTTTTTATCAGGACATGCACAGTCATCCCATCTAGCTTCACTGAGAAATCTGTATCCTCAGGACATCCCAGCACAAACCTTCCCATACATTTGCATTGGTTGGCATGACTTTGACTCTTCATCGCCTGATGGAATGGCTCCAAATCAGTATGACATTGCATTGACATGGCTTCGTACCAATGGTAGAGCCATGCTCTTCATTGGTGTGACTGCTCTGACAGTGCCACTGACCTCATTTAAGTGGATTCTGTAGGTGTAATTACTTTGGTAAGTGGTCCTTATACATGTAATGCCACCCCTCTCTACTTGCAATAATGAAATCCTGACTTAGGAGTATATAGCTAATTTTTTTTTTTTTTGCCTTTCATTTTTTAACCTTTGGGCCATCTTCTGTAAGACCCATAATGAACCTTGGTTAAGGTTATTCAGATGAATGGCATTTTCCCAAACAGTGCTTTGGCTACAAAATGTTTGAAAGCATGCCTCGCTGCCCCTGAACTCAGAGCAGTTTAATTCTTACAAAAACATTAAGCGTTGTTTTAGTGGGAGACATCCCTGCTTCCGTCTGAGAATACCTGTCAGCTATACATAAACTCAGCAGTCCAGGCTGCAGCTGGATGTCATTTTAACTTAATTCTGCTTAGCTGGATAGAAATACATGATGGCTTCATGGGACGATGCCTTTGCATTTCTACAGAGCACAGAAACTCATGTTAAGTACCAGATACCCACTGCAACCACCTGGAGAGCTTAAAATCAAAACAGCAATGTCCCTGGCCTTCCCCGATACATCAAGAGGTTGAGACATGAAGATTTTTTTTTTCAAAGCTCACCAGGTTACCCCTGCAGCTGATCCTGGCTTCTTATAAGACACACCTAAAATCCCCATTGCTGTAACACCTACCCCATGTTTGAGGGCTCCCTACTAGTGGGGACCTCCTAGTATGGCCTCAGCAGCCCTCAGACACCCATGAACCCTGGTACTGACTCCTGAAGTTAAGGTTAGCACCTAGAAATCTGCATTGGCGATGCTGGGATGAATTCTCCACGCTGCTGGAAGCCTCTGGTGGGTGTATCTGGGATACAGAACTCCGGCATGAAGCCAGCCTTGCATGTCAGGAAGAGAGCCTGGGCTGTTTGAACATGCTCAGGGGCCCAGAGGGGAGCTGCCTGTACTTTCCCACCTCATTTGAGACTTGAAGATTGCTGATCATTCCAAGCAGCCTTCCCTTGAATGTTTACATTTTAAAGTGAAAATACAAGCGTGATCCTGCTTGTTAGACAGGAAGGTAAAGCCCCCACTCCCAAAAGTCTCTCTGAAAGGGAGTTAGTTGGCAGTGCTTCCCTGGATAAAATGGTGCACCAATGCCTGCAATGAGCCTGGGAGTCCCCAGAACCTCCCAGTAAGGCCCTCTGCCTACTCCCGGGGGATGGAAGGAAATGTGGGTCAGAATCGCACCTGGCTTTCTCTTCACATACAGCATTTTAAGGACAGGCCCTTTCTCTCCTACCCCAGGCGCTGTTATTAACTCCAGCTGGACTGCTGTGCAGCCTGGGCTGTATTAAAATTTTGCAGAGTGTTCTCAGGACCCCATAAATCAGAGAAGTGGGGGCCCTGGGGACACCAGATGAACAAGGTGTGCACATGGCTGTCATTCTTTACTTGGGAGGAAACCAACTTAGTGGGGAAATGGTTCACAGGGTCCCGGAGAGAGGAAGAACCAAGGGGCCAGATCGGGGGACAGGACCATGTGCACTTAACATGGGAGGGGCTCACAAGCCTGGAGGGTCAAGGGCACTGCCCAAGGACTCCTCATGCAGCCCTGAGAGGCTGCAGGCATGAGCTGTTGACAATTCTTTCCTAAGTAGGATTGTACTCTAACCACTGAAAATGGTGTGTGTGTGGTAGCTGCAGCTAAAGACACTGTCATTGTCAAGTATCTCATCTTGCTCATACTTGTGTGCTGTGCTATGCTTTAAAGACTGGTAGAGCTGTTGTGTTTATGCCAATGTCACCAATACATGGGGCTGATGTCCCCTGGTTTGCAGGAAACCATCTTGTAGTGAGAACATTCTAGTCTTTTTCTTCTTATAAGGTCACTAACTTATCCTGGGTGCCCTGCCCTTCTTACCTTGCCTAGTCACCTGTGTATCAGTGATGTTGTGGTGACAAAATATCAGACAAAAACAACTTCATATTTAAGGTTTTAGGTGCAATCCTTCATGGTGGAAAAGACAGGAGCTTAAGGTAGCTGGCTACATTGTACCCACAGCCAGGCAGCAGTATGTAAGAAATGCTGGTGCTCAACACATTCAGTCCAGGGCCTCTAAGTCCAGGGCCTCTAAGCCCACGGCATGGTGTCACCCACACTGAGGGTAGCTCTTCACATCTCATCCAAACCTAGTCACTATTGCCTCACAAAGATGCCCAAAGATTCGTTTCTATGGAAATTCTGAATCCCATCAAGTTGGCAATCAAGATTAACCACTGACTGGTCAAAGCTTCAACTGCCTGTCCCAGCCACTGGGGGCTAGGGATTCAGTGTATGCTTTGGTGAGGAGTAGGCATGACATCTTGAAGCAACTCTTCTAGCAGGCAGCGAGCATTCTTGACTTGCAGATATTGCAGGCACTTGGGAATGACCCGCCCAGGAGCAGCTTTATGGCAGGGCTATAATATGCCCTCAGCTCAGGCTGTCCCTGTCTCTCACAGTGTTCATCTACGTGTGGGAAGGGGCTCCAGTCCATGCTTTGGTGAGGAGTAAGCATGACATCTTGAAGCAACTCTTCTAGCAGGCAGCGAGCATTCTTGACTTGCAGATATTGCAGGCACTTGGGAATGACCCGCCCAGGAGCAGCTTTATGGCAGGGCTATAATATGCCCTCAGCTCAGGTTGTCCCTGTCTCTCACAGTGTTCATCTACGTGTGGGAAGGGGCTCCAGTCCCGGGTGGTACAGTGCATGCACAAGGTGACTGGACGCCATGGCAGTGAGTGCCCCGCCCTCTCAAAGCCAGCAGCCTACAGACAGTGCCACCAGGAGGTTTGCAATGACAAGATTAATGTGAACACCATCACCTCCCCTCGCCTTGGTGAGTATGTCCCCTGTCCCTGGTTTCTGGGTGCCACTGCCCCCGTTGTACACCAGAAAGCACCTTCTTTGAGCACTAGAGGGGCCAGTATTTGCTAGGAATGAAGAAGGCTCAGAGGTGTTTGGCTCTCACCCAGAACATCCTTGGAGCATCCTACTTAGCCTTCTGCCAACACAAGAGGATAGACAGCCTCAATTCTGACCACTGTATGTGAGGAGGGTGAAGAGCCATATTCCTTTCTGGAAAGGTTCACTAGGATATCTGCACGGATCCCCTGTGCCCTGATGGAACTGCACGTAGACAGAGTGAAGAGGTTATAGTCCATGTGTAAGCAGTTTGGTTCTCGGTTCTCAGACAAGACTGCTTGCGTGTCAGTAGTCCAGCCAGTGATGGGATAACATGAGGACCATATAATACCTAAACAGAACACCTAACAAAAGAGACTCATCGAAGGGGTTGTTGGGCTATGATTTAAAGGTACAGTCTACTATCATGGGGAGGCTCTGGTGACCCAACATTGAGACAAATGGACATATTGTATCTGCAGTCAGGAAGGAGAGAGAGATAAATGCTCATGCTTACCTTTCTCCTTTTTAATTCATTTCAAACCCTCAGGCCACAGAATAGTACACCCCCCCACCCCACTCTCAGGATGGGTCTACCAACCTCAATTAACCACTCTGGGTAATTCCTGATGGACATGCCAAGAGGTTTGTCTCCTGAGTGATCCAAGCTCCCATTGGTTTAACAGCATTCACCACCACACAACCCAGGGCCCCATAGCTGCCAGAGAGGATTCTCCAAGCAGCTTCCATGTGAGTAGGGGAGCAGCTGAGCTCATAGAGGGAGCACCCATGTTGGGACCTCCTATGTGTAAGGCTTCTCTCCAGAGGATTAAGACCCTGAAAGAAATGTGAGCTATTTGTTTATCCTTCAACTTCGCGCTTTTGTGGGTTCTTTAATGCCTACTGCTCCAGGTCACTGAGTTTTATAAATGGCAACAGAAGCAGTATGGTCTATCATAAACCAGTTTCCCAAGCTTAGGAACAAGCTGTCTGGTGTCTCCTGCTCTGAAAAGGCAGCAGGAGTACCTCAGTCAGGGCTTGGATGCAGAGGTAGATCCTTAGGAGAAAGTAGCATCTGTACAGCCCTAGATGACCATGAATTTATACAAGACTAATGTGTACTTGAAGGTAAGAGAAAGTGATATAACCATGGGTTGCTTCTGTGTATTTAACCAAGGCTTTAATCTCTGGGCACTCATGTGTTCTTCCCGCTGTCCTCTTAGCTGCCCTGACCTACAAATGCACACGAGACCAGTGGACAGTATATTGCCGGGTCATCCGAGAGAAGAACCTCTGCCAGGACATGCGGTGGTACCAGCGCTGCTGCCAGACCTGTAGGGACTTCTACGCAAATAAGATGCGCCATCTGCCCTCTCCCCCAAGCTCATGACGTACAGCACAGTGCTTGCACAATGCTCTGACTCAAAATCTGAGGTCTGGCAGTTAGTGAGTGGAGAGCCCTCACCCTTCCCAAAAGCACATCATCCCTGCAGCCAGGACCCCCAAAGCATTCCTCTGCTCCCACAATAAGGCTGCCTCGATTCCAGTTGCATAGAACTAGCGAGTGGACTTGGCATTGCCATTCGTCCTTTGAACATAATATATTGTTAACAGCCATTGGATGGCTTTCTAAGGAGAAACTACACAAGAGTCAGAAAATAATTTTAGCTTCCAAGATCCTATGTACCTCAAAGGGGGCACCTCTGACAGATAATTAGAGAGGGAGAGAGAGAGAGAGAGAGAGAGAGAGAGAGAGAGCACTTAAGCAAGAGTGTTATTGCTTCTGTCCTGGCTTACTATTGACATTTGAATTCCTCGAGCTTGATGGAGCTTTATGGAAATATCCTGGAAATGAGATATAACATTAGGAGAGGCGCTATCCTGAAAGCCAGCAATGTCCTGGTTGACCAGCTTCTACAATGGCTTCTCTGGAAGAGGGCTATGCTGCCTGAGCACAAGAATCAAGACATGGCCTCTGCCCATCTCAAAAACGTTAAGAGTCTCAAAATCCTGGGCCTTGCCTTAGAAATCTTGCCCCTGAAAGTTGAAATCTGACTAGGCCAACAAGAATACCAGTGCCACATAGTTCCGCACCCCACATATGGCAGGGTGGGGGAGCACCCTGAAGAGCTAGATTTGGGAAGCCACTCAGTGGTGTACCCCACAGGGAAACAGGGGAGCCTTTCCTCAAGGTGCTATGAAATGGGTTGCTTCCTAACATAAAGGCATCCTCAGCTCCCTCGGGGTATGCCAGCTCCCACTCTGCCTCCAGGCATATCCACTTGGCCAGCGCTCCATAAGGCTTTGCACATTATATATATTCTGCACCTTGGCCAAGTACCTTTCCATTGCCATTGGCCTTTCTTCTGAAGTTAGGCTGAAGTTCAGGACCTCTGAGGACACACGTCAGTCCTGGTATCTGGGCACAAGGCAGGTGTGCCAGGACTTTTGGAGGAACACCACGTGACTGAAATTGCTGCATGGTCATCAAGCCTTCCTCTAATGAAGATCTCATGGCTGGTATCATCATTGTTCACAGCTGTCATCACTGACCCATCCTGAGGTGACATGGAAAGATGGAGAAGGTCCTGCCATCCATCCCCAGGCATTCACTTTCACCACAGAACTTTTCTATCTCCAGAAGTACAGAGAAGTGATCAGGTTGACCTCTCCAAGAGCAGACCTGGCTGCTGCAGGTGGCTGGCTGCTTCATGTCTTGGTGGGTTTTCTTGGGTGCTTATGTTTGGAACTACCTTGAGGCCCATCTTCTCCTGGTGTCAGATGGGATCATCTTTAAGTACTTTTTGACTTATTGGTGCTGTTTCTATTTTAGTTTAGGGTTTTTGTTTTTAATTTTACTAGCCCATCACAGGGTCGTGGTAGGGGTGGCAGGGAATCATATGGTCCCACTTGAACTGAAAAGGAGTGTTGATAAACCTCCTTAGGTGCTCTGAGAAACTGTCAGGACGAAGTAACCCACAAACCATCGCCCTGGTGAGATGCTAAACACTGCTTCCCCAACCTGTTTCTAAAACCCACAGATTCCAGGGAGTTTGGGGGGGAGTAGGGGAGAAGGTGCTGTCAATTTCCCTTCAGCCCAGCATCTTGTTAATTTGCCCAAAGACATTCTTACTGTGGAGCCAGGGAGCCCTGAGAGTGCCAGCATAGCCAGCTCAGGAAGCCACACATCGTCCTCGTGGGGCTTAGGAGGCCACCTGGGCAGAGCAAGTGTGAGCACGTCCCCATGGGTGACTGTCCCTCGTGCCTCTGATGCCCCACCGCCATCTGTCCCCAGAAGGAGCCCCAACACCATTAATGTTAAACTACTCAGTGCTCCCTGCCATGTGCACGCACTTTCTGAGCAAATGCTGGGCAAATGCTGGCATTGCCACTTTGAAACCCCCCCCCCAATGACACTTTCATTCTGTCTTACCCAGAGCCATCGAAGCTCTGGGACCACAACGGTGACATGTCTGTGTTAAACCTGCACTGCCACTCACGTGCTATTCCCTCATGGTCACACAGATGTCACTAGCATGTCACAATCTTAAGGTGCTGTTCGTACTGGTGCAAGACAAACCACTGGCGGTTGTCTGTGGCTCATAGATGCAGAACACAGGGAAGGAGCCTGGGTGGCAACCTCACCTTCGCTCTCTATCCACTTTAAAGTCAAATGTATGTAGTCCCCACTAGTTAACTTACATTCAGGACTGTGCCTGTGGGGTCTGTCTTGTTCTGTTTTACTTTTGGTTATTGAACAATACAAATGAATAGATGACAAACATTGGATGCCACCATACGTGAAAAACATCATTTCATTGGAAGCAAGTTGAGCATGTGTAATAAAATGTTTTTCCGTACCGGTTTTAAGCTCTCTGCAAAGTCGAAGACAAAAGCCAGTCCTTCGGGGCTGACAGAGGGGGCAGTTACCGTTCCCTGCTGTGGCAGTAGCCTGGTGTGCCTGACACAGGGTTGTGTGGAACTGTGACCACAGAGAGATCACTAGTAAATGCAATGCTGGTGGTGGTCTGCATCCCCAAGGGAATGCTAATAAATTTTTCAGTCCCAGCCCTCCTCCCTGCCTGAGTATATCACGGTCTGGCACTGCCAGTGAGGAACAGCCACCTGGCTAGTGTGCGGGAGTAAATGACAGAGCTTTGAGCACAAATCCTGGCCATGCCACAGTGGATGCTCACTTCCCCCAACAACCGACCTCCTGCCCCAACTCGGTGCTGCTAGCCCAGCCAGTGGCTGTAGCACAGGGACAGAGAGGACAAGGACAGAGCACATACACCATCTTCACAACTGGACCAATCATGTGGAGCCTGTCTGGGCCTGCTTGGAGGCAAGGGTCTCACAGCTGGGGTGGGAGACAGGTATTCCATCTCAGTGGGGAGAAAGATACCCCCACTGAGGTTGGAAGAGCATCCAAAGTGTGCACCAAATTAAGAACAATTTGCTTACTAAAAAGCCTTTCAAAGCCATCGTGCTCCCCCACCCCTCCCCACCCACCCACCCCCCCACCCCCCCACCCACCCCACCCCCCCGCTCCCAATTGTATCTACCAACCCAATTTTCACTGCTATTGTAAATACCCAAGGCAGGTAACTTTATAAAGAAAAGTTTATTTTGGACCAGGGTTCAAAAGACCCAAAGTCAAGAAGCTCCATTTGATAATGGCTTCCCTGCTGGTAAAGTCCCAAGGCAGCACAGAGCATCAGCTAGTGAGAAAGGAGCGAGCTTGTGTGTTTCCTCTGGCCCTGTTCCCTCTTCTTATGAAGCTGCCAGGACACAGCTTTACCCCATGACCCTGTCTAATCCTGATCACCTCCCAGAGGCTCTAGCACCAGAACACCACAGTCAGATTAAGTGAATACCCTCTCTACCTTTTTGATTTGTAGATTATACTTCCTTCTATAAACTGTGTTTACACCCAGCTCCAGAAAACCTGTAGTATGCACACTTGAGACCATCTCTCACCTGCCCCTTGGGAGAACTTTCTCCTTCCTCTGAGCCTTCCAATGGAGGAGGGTGGGGGGGAGCAGAGATTTGAGCAAGGGGTTTATCTGAACACTGAATAGCCTCAGTGTTTCTGGTTTGTTCTATGAAGCTGGCATGCCCCACCACCACCATCCGTAAGCATTTACTAGAACAGTCCAGAACACAGAAGAGCAGCCGGCCTTCTGGGGCCACACAGTTCTCTTATGCAGACCAGCCTAGAAGAGCACACAACAGGAGATGCACAAGCCACGGGACTTCAAGGAACAAGTCAGGACCATAGGGGAGGCTGATTGATTGATCTTAGAGACACAGAGCACCCAGGGACAGCAGTGTTCCTCACTCCCTCACCCATTCTGCAAATGACCCCAGCAGAAGCTCTCATTTTTTTTTCTACCAGGCACAAATCCGGTGGCATCTGGTCCTACTTCTGAGAGGGAATCAGTGCTCAGTGTGCTCCAAGGCCACACCACACTGAACCCTGCCCCTGTTCTGTCTCCTTGCTGCCCTGTAGTCTCTTCACTGGTTTTCATGCCCTATTCTGCCCTGACACTGGTTTGGATGGATCGCCAGTGGTTTTCCAGTGCCAGGTTGCACAGACCAACTAAGGACCTCTCCAGTTCCCAAGATCCCTCTCCTGTGACTCAATCCTCTCCCACCCCCAGTCTGTAGTGCCATATTTCAGACTTTCCCATACCTCTCTAAGTGATGGGGGAAGCCTAAGCTCAGCCCCATACCCACCTTTCACCCAGACACAAGGCTTTAAGAACTTAGGGTATTTCTCTCAAATGAGCATCCTGTCCTGAGAACTCCTGAATTCCCCAAAGGATGTGGTTGATCCCACAGGAAGCTCCTGGCCTGGGATGTGCCAGAGCCAGGAGAAATGCATTTCATCCACCCTGTTGTTACAGAGCCACCCACATTCTGAAGACAGTCATTCTGTTCAGCTGTCTGTTTCTGACGTCTGTATGAAACATTCAGACTCACCCACACATGTTTTACCAGCCAGCTGGGTATCATCTGGCCAGGTAAAGTGACACACAAAATGATCACACATCATGACACGTGACACTCACTGTGGTTCTGCCCCTGGAGTCTCATCCCTACTCAGCATCCGGTTCAGGCTCCAGCCCTGGCCCCAAGGTCAAGTCATCTACAGAACATGCAGATGTGGCTCCTCCAGGGCCGTCCCAGATGCAGCTCTAAGTGTCTTCTCTGTATCTGTGAATACCCAAGAGGAAATGCCATGCCAGGCCCGGCATAGGCTCGCCAATAGAGGGAGAGAAGTACTCCACGGCCCCTGCACGGGCCCTGCACAGCCCCGCTCAGGTCCCTCTGGGCACCTGTTGTGGGCTCCACTGAGCTTGGTCACGATACTCACGTACTGATTCTCTATGCACTACCCTGGTATCCAGAGGACTCCACCTGGAACTCGGACCAGGCTCCTCCTTGTCCATGCTAGGCACTCTCCCACTGAGCAGCATCCCCAGCCCAAGGACCTTTTTAAGATTTCAGGGCAGGCCTCCCTTGAACTCACATTGTAGCCCAGGCAGAACTTGAATTTGTAGTCCACCCCTTCTGCCTCAGCCTCCTGAGGAGCTTGGTGTCAGCCACAGCCTGGCTTCCTTCCTGCTCTGTGACCTCCCATGTAATCTGCCACTTCTTCCCATATGGTCTGGTTTCTTCACACCCTGAGTGTGATAATTCTATGCTGTGTTGCCTCTTTCGGAACAAAGTAGGAGAGCTGAACATTGGCCCCAAGGAAAGCATTCCTGGATGCGCTTTCCTGCCCCTCCTGAGCGCACTGTTGGTGGCCATTCCCCTTTTATCTGACTCTGCTGATGGTGTTCTAGCAAAGATCTTACACTAGCAGAGCCATTTGCTGGGGGCTCCTTCTTGATCAAAATTGTGTGAGTCCGATGGCTTAGAGGGCAAAAGTCCTTACTGCCAGGACTGATAACCTGAATTCCATTCTGGTACCCACCTGGGGGGAAGAGAGAACTGATTCCCACAGTTTGTTCTCTGATGTCCACAAGTCATGACATGTGCATGCTTTGTCGTGACATTACACACACACACAAATAGATGCAATTTTACAAGTTGTGGGAATTCACTGTCATCAGACAGGATTCTAAAACTTTTAAGGCCAAGACATCCTTTGCATAAGAATGTGTTGGGAACACCATGTCATGTCATGTCTCATTCTTTACATCTTCAGACAACACTAAAATAAGCCGTTCTTGGTGCCTGTGTGATTAGCTCAGTGTGGGAGCACATGTTCAGCGTGTACATGGTACTACATCCTATCCTCAGTGTGTACATGGTACTACATCCTATCTTTAGCATGTACATGGTAATACATTCTAACCTCAGCTCCAAAGATAATATAATAAACTGGTGTTGTAACTATGTTAAATATTACAATTTACTCATACCTAGAGCAAGGAAGGGGGTGGCATAGGCTTCCACCTAGCCTGACACTACAATGGCTCTTTATGGCCCAGGTCCATCCATCCTAACTCTACATTCAAAGTCAAGGTGTCTTCATGGACACCTTGAGCCCTTATGAACCAAAGGGCCCTGAAGCAGGACCACTTATACCTGACTTTTAAAGGGGAGACAACGGTGACACACTGGATTCTTGATTCAACTTGGATC